CCCCCCCGCCCTGAGCAGAGAAACTGGACAATAATTGATTATAAGGGAGTAAACAGGCACACAATGGGGAATACACCAGCTGTTTGCCAAGTGCACTAGTGGCTGCCAGCACCAACGCCTGCCAGCACCAGCGCATTGCTTTAGATGCGCTTTAGATGTCTCTTCCCAATTGTGTGCCTGCTTACTCTCTTGTAATACCTTCCTCTCCAATCTCTCCTCTCTGCGGGGGTGGGGTGGTGGTGAGGGAAGGAAAACAACAGGTCAGTTACAAGACAATGCGTACTGACTGTAATGGCAATCACGTGACTAAGGGACACTACAAAGGTCATAAATGGTCGTAAGTCCATTTTTTCAGTGCCGTTGTAAATTTGAATGGTCACTGAACAAATGGTTGTAACCTAAGGACTACGTGCATCAACCAATATTCACACTTGCCAAAAATCAAATTTTCAGATGAAAGTAAAATGCCAGGAAAAAGATAAAGATCAAGAAAGAATATCAGCATAGAGTTCAAGATTCCAAAAAGTCTATTTGGAAAAATTTCATCAAGAAACTGCTAACAACATATCACATACCATGTACAAAATGTTTTCTGAAGATAAATCTGTTTGAAGAAGCTTATTATGTGGTGTGAGAGGGATGGACGAATTTTGACAAAGATAAAAATATAATAACCCCCTACTAGTGCAAAGATTTAGTCGTGCTGTTTTAGCACTCAGCATTTGTTTTAGTTATTAGTTTGTTTTGAATATACTTCCCACCACAAAGGACATGTTCCTAAATGCTCTTGAAATAACAATGCATCTCAACCTTTATTTTTTTCTTTGGCTGATTCTACCATCTGCTTCTCATAAGTCGTCTTTAGCATGCTGCATGATTTCTTGTGTGTAAACCAGTGCATTTTCTGGCAGGTCTGATCACAGTAAATGACCTGAAAATCAACAAAAGTATGTTAACATTCTGATTTTTAAAATGAGCTATATTTACCTAAGGTACTAGAAGCATCCCTTTACAATAAGAAAAAAAAAAAGACTGAGATTTTTTAAATAAATATTTGCCTTTTGTTTGCTCATGCAGTTGGAATTTCAGGACTGAGAAGTTATTTTCTTGTTTTCATTTTAAAGGTTGAAATTAGTTTTGCAGATTAAGATACAGCACCATCAACTGTATACAAATGTGTGACAACTTTGTCACTCATTTGTAGATAATTTTGTGTACCTTAGTAAGTATTTACCAAGGATGGGAAAATGGAAAAAAATTCAGAACATACAAGTGATAGGAGAAAGATAGGTAGAAATAAACTGTGGTTGAAAGAAGCAAAAAATGGCTGTGTGTGAGAATGGGCTTCTGCCCACTGTTACATGGAAGCGGGAGTTGAGTATCTCAAGAAGAACATAAAATGCAATGGGGATGGTTATAGAAGTGTGAAGGAAAAGTAAATGGGTCAAGAGGAAGACCAAGAAATACATAGTTGTGAAAAACCTCAAAAAGAGAGAAGTATGAAGTGTGTGAAGAACAAAAGGCAATATGAATTATTGTATGGATATGGCAGAAGCATGAATAGTCTGTAAGGATAATAAAGTATGGAGAGTGATCTCTTTTGCTTGTATTTTGCATGTTGTGATTTGCACTTAAAGGGGAATAGAGTGTATATACAGTAAGCGATTTGTTTACTGGAGTTTACCTGCATATTCTTACCATTTTGCATATGGAACACCTTTTGCCTGCTCCTTTTTCCCCACATGTTGTACAAAATTCAGCTTCTACAAAGCCTACTTGGCCAGTAATAGCTTGTGTAAGTACAGAAAAAGCTGTAGGATCAGAACCCTGGAGAAACAAGGGGAGACAAAACTGCAGTTTTCAAGTTTGCTTACAACAATTATAACTCCAAGCCCAAAGGGAAAAACTCTGTGCTCCAGTTTTTTTTAAAAAAGCACCTGGCATGCATCTACCTTAACACTAGGCATCCTGCAAAAGATGAAATGATTTAGAACAAAATTTCTAAATTCTGTTTCCACTGAAAGGACCTAATAGAGGTTTCATTTAATGAATCTATACTCTATAAGTAGACTAATTTTGCTCTTGAGAAAATGTTTAAAAAGAGAATATATAGAAATATATATTTCTCTCTCTATATATAGAATGAATGAATGAGTGTGTGTGTGTGTGTGTGTGTAAAAAGATATTTTCTCTACATATCCCAAGATGCTATTTAAAACGGCTGCCTGGTGCTTAATATAATGGTGCGCAGACCTGTAATCCAACTCGCCAAAAGAAAAGGCAAGACTACAAAGAACTTGCCTGATCAATCTTGATTCTTAGTGACATATCAAGCCAAAACTCCCTTTCAAGTAGTTATAAATCTATTAACTGAAGCTTTCTAAGAAAAAAAATGCTGAAGAAAGGAGACCCACTGATGAATAACCTAAACTGTGCAGGCCTGGCCATGTGGTCAGACAGTAGGTTTGGCTGAGACCATATGACTTGTCCCTGAATCAACAGCTCCTTCCAATGCAGTGTTTGCCAGTCTCACCCTGCTTAATCTAGATAATCTGGAAAGCAAGGGGACCAAGGCCAGGTATCACCAGAATAATTATGAACTCTGCTTGTCAGAACTTCTGTGTTATTTGGAAATTATCACAGTAAAGGAAAATGCATACAGAAGGCCCATCAGCCAGTCTGTCATGAAAGCATCCAGCCACATGTCCCTGGCGGTGAATCTTGACATGAACTGGGACATTATGTGTTATCCTGCAGATAGCTAAATCTGGAGGCAATCTGTTGAAAGGATTGAGGGTTTGGTGCCCACGCTCGTTCCTGGATTATATAACTGATGGACCAATCAGCTAAACTGCCAGGAGTTCCCACAACGTGTTCTGCCTTAATATTTTTGAGCAATGATATTTTTCATCCATTACCTGAAATGGGCTTCTTCATGAACTGGGCAGTTATGGAATGAGATTAACAAGCAGGTTACTACTCATCCTGTTTTCTATTATGTGTTATTAAGAAGATGTGTTGTGCTAAGCCCGTATTTTGTTTCTGTGGGATGCTGCTGCCATTCTTCTCTGCATTGCTCCTCTCACTGCCTTCCATCAGACCTGTGAGGATTTGTAAGGCATGATTTCATATCCCTTCCCTGTGCTAATAGGAGAGGGAAGACAAGGACAAAGCACCATAGGTTTGGAAATACAGACGCTGCTTCTGTATCTTTGTTGCCTGCTTGTTCTCAGGTAAGCTTTCGAGCTGGATTAGGTGCTGCCTTTTAACAGAGGCACTGAAGCATCTCCTTAGACTGCTCTCTTTTTCCTGCAGCAGCAGCCAGATTGATTCCTGTTTGTGCTAAGTGCTAGTTGATTTGCCTCCAAATAATTAGCTAGGTGAGACTAGAATAGTCCATAATATCATCTGGTATCTTAGGTTTTCATGGCTGCCATATGAGTCGTTGAAACTGAAAAGGTTAGCAGGAGCTGAGCTAAGGTAAAAGGAAAGACACATTTCTGAAAAACATCAGGAGCGAGGACGGAACAGTTCTCTGAGATAATCAAAGAACCACAGTTGCAGAAACTAAACCGCCCCCCTCAACCCCTTTCTCACATTAAAAATTAGAATCTGGTTACATTGAACATATCTGAAGAATGCACACCAAGAAATTATCTTGCAGATTCTAAATGTTGAGCCAATTCGTGCAGAACAACGAACGTACTGTTCATCAAGACACACTCACAATTTCAACAGGAGCAATGCTTCTCACAAGTTGCTGAAGCAAGGTAGCTTCACAGTAAGGAAATTTCCGAATAGATTCTCTGATGATCTTCTCTTGATAAACTGGAAAACCATCTCTCTCTCTGCCTTTTAACAGGCTGAAATTAAAGTTGAATACAGCTGAAGTTACATAAGTTGCCCACATTTCTTTCTTCCTACTCATGGTGCAAATGTTATGTGCAAAATCACAGCATAAGGAGAAGCTACAGTACATGTACCTATTTATATTAGAAGTAGTTTTGTGAGTGCTGCATATTCATTCACCCTCAAAGATAATAGCATTGGACCCTAATTTCCAAAGAATGTACTATGTATAACCATGTAAATTTTCCTTCAGCTGCAGCTTACTAATACAAAACTAAAAAGGAAGGCACACTTACCTTCCCTGTCAAGTCATGCATCCATTCCAGTGACTTAACGGGAAGGCTCCAGTTTCATAGCTGGATGTTCATACTAACAGTATTCTATGACTTGTGCAGAGCTAATAATACACTGTATTGAAAGCAGCCATCTACTGAAAAACAATCATACCTTTTGATTAATCCATCCAATTTGTCTTCTCGTTCCTTAAGGAAAAGGATACATTTTTTGAAAATGCAACTAATATAGTGCATTTTCATTGCAAGGACTTCATTCATCTCTCTCTGCTTCATGCACTTCTCACAGATCAGATCCAATACTTTGTAGCATTTCTGCATTGCCTCAACTTCTGCCAAAAGAGGATTTTCTTTCACCAGCAAAACAATCTATAGAAAACATTAACGAGATATACCCGATAAATTGAATTTCCCCAGGCAGACGTGGTGCACAATCTGGGGGTCCTTCTGGACTCATGACTCCTGCTTGAAGAGTAGGTGGCAGTCGTGGCTAGGAGGGCCTTTGTACAGCTTCAAGTTGTGTGCCAGTTGCGCCCATTCCTGGACCAGGAAGCTCTACACTCAGTCACTCATGCCCTGGTCACCTCCCTTTTGGATTACTGTAATGCACTCCACATGGGGGCTGCCCTTGAAGAGTAGTTGGAAGCTTCAGTTGGTGCAAAATGCAGTGGCGCGGGCAGTTATGTGCACATCTACATCTGTGCATGTTATATCTCTGCTTTGTGAGCTGCATTGGTTACCAATTTGCTTCCAGGTCCAATTCAAGGTGCTGGTGATAACCGATAAAGCCCTACATGGCACGAGGCTGGGTTATTTGAGGGACCACCTCTCCCTAGTGATATCTATCTCTACCATCAGGTTCAGGAGAAGAGGTTTGTTTGGGGTTTTGTCTACTAAAGTTTCATCTGATGGTACCTAGGAGGAGGGCCTCTGCTGCCGCATGCGCCCTATGGAACATCATTCCCCCAAAGTCAGACTGACCCCGACTTTGATGGCCTTTTGGAAGGGCCTGAAGACCTGGCTTTACCATCTGGCCTGGGGATCAGAGAGTGATGTGGAGCCCACAAAATGGATGTACTGTCGTGAATGACTGCTCTCCTGCTGACTGCATTCTATGGTTTTTAATTGTTTTAATTATTTTTTAGTTTTTGTATTGTTTATATGATTGCTTTATTTTCTGGTTTTTTGGTACTGTTTATATTTTAATTGTAAGCCGCCCAGAATCACAAATGTGAGATGGGAGGCTACGTAAATTGAATAAATAAATAATGTTAATTATTTTCTAAATTAATTGTTTGACGTAAGTATTACAAGTAACTAGTAACGGCTCAGTTTAACAGGACTGCATGCACTATATTTTTGTTTTGCTTAAGAAGATATTTACTTGGGATGCATCATCCCCATCCACCAAATTGTTTCATTAATGGTGCAGAGAAGAGGTGGGATCACCTGATGTCCTACTTTTCACCACTATTCTGCTACTGCTGTGTACATAAAAAGGTTAAACCAGGAATATCCAAAGGCCACTCTCTTTGGGACTGTCATGCTAGTTACCCACACTATTGTTTCCAAGTCTCTGCAAAGTTCTGTGCCTTTTGAGAGATAGAGATGAAAATAATATAAAATATTGCCTGTCATTCATCTCTTCCTCACTCTTTTTCCCTGCCTTTTAGCCTGTTTTTGCCAGTGAAATGTTATGATGTTTAGTCAATAAATATCAAGCTGTATTTTTTGTCAGTGGAACTGAGTGGTGCATGGAGGCTGTGGCCAGAGGGACCTGTGCCCATCTATGGTGGGTACACAATTGTGGCCATACCTGGGGCAAGAGGACTTACCCATAGTAACCTATGTTGTCATTAACACGCATATTAAGTTCTACAGTACACTTTCCATGGGGCTGTCCTTACAGTCTACAGTACTTGGAAACTGCAAACGGTCCAGAATGCAACATCCCACGTGCTTACTGGCACCTGTCTGGGAGTATATAACACCAATTTTGCAGGCCTGCAAATGGTTACCAGTAAGTTTCCAAGTACAATTTAAGATGCTAGTGTTGACCTATAAAGCCCTTTATGGCTTGGCATCTGGATACCTTGCAGATTATCTGCTCCAACCAATATCAGCCCAATCAGTTAGAACCGCTAGGGAGAAACTTTGTGTAACTGCACACTTCTGAGAGGTTTGGGAGACTCAGGCTAGGTGGCATTGTTACTTTGTGGCCGCGCCATTACTTTGGAACAGCCTCCTGATTGAGATCAGAATGGCCTTGTCCCTGCCAGTTTTCCAGAATCTTTTAAAAACTGAGTTGCTTCAGTGGGCCTGTCCTTGAGTCAATAACTTATGCCAACTTGCTTTCCATTTCTTGTTTTATTTTTTGTTCCTTGTCATTTTTTGGTGTACTTACAGTTCTAAGTGAGGGCTGATGTGGTTATCATTGTTATCACTGGTTTGAACCTCACCATGGATACTGTAACATTTTTTTTAATATATCCTGTAATCCACCAAGAGCCATTTGATTGAGGCAAAGTAGAAATATAATAAAATAAACAAATAATCATATAATCATATTGAATGAATCTTTCATCTGGTACTTGAAAACAATGTTCTAACATGCAAACACACACTTCTTGCTGAAAATATAGGGCTTCATAAGAACTGTTTCAGTTAAAATAAATCTCACATTGACATATACTTTTAATGTGATTTTGTTTAGAAGAAGAAAGAACAACATGAGCCTATCTAGCCTAGTAACCTCCAGATGTGTTCTGACTACAACTGTAAAAATTCCAATCCAAAATGGCTACTAGCTAATAATTTGAGAAATGCAACACTTCTAGAGGGCAACCAGTTGAGAAAGGTTGGTCTCTACCTGTGTTTTTCAAACTTGGCAACTTTTAAGATATGTGGAGTTCAACTCCCAGAATTCCTGCAGGCTGTGGAATTCTGGGAGTTGAACTCCACATATCTTAAAGTTGCCAAGTTTGAAAAACACTGGTCTATATATTCAAAAATCTGGGATCTCTTAAAGGTAACAAATCTGTGGATATCACAGCAAAAAAACAAAACAAAAAGTGTTTGTGAATTTCAAGCAGGACCTATTTACATGCATACAATATCATGTGAAAATGAGACACTAAAGCTACTGCAAAGAGGACTGGACTATACAATGATAAAAATGCCCAGAATCATGAAATCAGCCACAAGATACAGATTAAGTATGTCATGGGATTAGCTTCATTCTTGCAGGTCCAATTACCTGACAACATGTCAGAAAAACATGACATACTGTACCTTAACAGGATGCAAATTAGTAGTTGTAATGATCTTATGCAGAGGTCCAGCTAGTTTAACTGGAAGTTTGGGTTCTTTATCTAGTCCTTGTGGTTTTGTGTAGTAGTTTAGTTTTTCCCGAGGAAAGAAATTGTTGATAACTGTTACACAGTCATGTTGACCTAAAGAGAGAAAATGATTTCCCTTTATGAAGTGAAAGACTATCTATAGGATTATTCATGATTAAAACTGGTCATTCGGTGATGAAGCAAAATTTGCTAAAAATACTGAGGAAGAGAGTAAAAATAACTTATTAGCTAATAATTGATAGAATCAAATCAACTCTCTTGAATAGAAAACTCAGGATCTAAAATAGGAAGATTCATTTTTGACATGTAATTTTAAACTCATTGCCATTTTACAGGCTAGTGTTTGCTCAGTCAAATGCACTATACAAATCCAATCTAAAAATCTGTAACCAGACAAGGATTTAATACTTCTAGAAATATTTCACAATTTTATATGAAAGTAGCACGAATTCAGAAGCAAAATGGTGTATGGACATGTTAGCTAAAAGGAAGAGTAAAAGGCTCTTCCTTCCCCCAAAATTCACATTTTTGTCACACTGATTTAATTTAATGTATGGTACACATCAAGTTCCATTTTCTAATAGTTTTAAAGAATGGGCAGAAGAATATTTGCCTTGAATATTTAGACAAGCAGAAGAGTGAGCTATAAATGCAATAAATAAATGAAAAATAGAGACACCCTTTGTCTTTACCCACAAAGGCAGCCATCTGAGCTGCTGTTCTCCCCACAGAATTGACAACATCCATCTCTGCTCCAGCCTCTAACATCATCCAGGTTATTTCTTTGTTGCCTAAACGAAGAAGCTTTATTTAGACTTTTTAACGATGTTTGCACAAACTATCAGTGAAATATGGTTCCCTCTGATAGGTATTAAAACTTAACCCTTCTACTAACAAGAAAGAAACCAAACATTTGGTTTTTCAACAGAACCAATTACACTGGTTCAAATTCTTTTCTCTCCCTACTGTAGCTTCAGTTGGAAGCATCTGCAGACATAGAACATGGCCATTTCTCTTTGCAAAGTTGAAACAAGTATCAACAAATTATCTTCAACTCTTGCTCCCTGGAACTTTGTTTGGCTGCTATTCTCTCTCCCCCTCTGCCATTCCTCTGGTCAATTCTGATACCAAAGACTTGATTCTGCATGTTCCCCCATTAGGAGAAAAATATGTGATTATCACATCAAAAATAATCCTAATATATGGATGAGAAAGCAGCCAGGTTCTATGGACATCATTAAGACCCATCACTCAATTTATATTAAATCAAGCTCCATAATCTTATAGCAGATTAAAATACCCGACAAAAACAAACTTTGATTTGCTCAAATTCTGTTACTATCTGCTCTTTTTCTACCAACACAGCTCAAATAAAAATAAAATATAACTTTAAAAATATATGCATCGTTAAGAGATTCTTATGACATCAGATCAAACTGAGAATGACTACTTTTATGTATTTAATGGAAAGCAAACTCTTCATAACACTTCTGTAGCCTCCCAGAAAAGAACAGGTTTCTTTTTCTTTGCATAAATAGGTAGCTATAATTAACAGAAAAAAGAAAAGGTTATATTTACCTGAGAGTCCAGCAAACATTAAGGCAGTATATCCATGTTCGTGATCATTGCAGTTTACATCAGCTCCATGCCGCAGTAAGAGTCTGCATATATCAACTTTACCTTTATATGCTGCGTGCATTAGAGGGGTCATTCCATGCTAATGAAAGAAGGTACAAATGCAAGTGTCCATTTGTTTTTTAGTTGTAGTGCCATAGTAAGACACACAATATTGATTTGTTATGTGGACTGACAAAAAAAGTATTAATTGTTAGAATCCTAAAGCTAAAGTGTGGGGAAGCCCTAAGATCAGGTGAGAATGCAAGTGAACAGTATATTCATCCTGTTACACAGCTTCACAAAAGTAGTTTTAACTCCATTGCCTTAATATAACTCAGTTGTTAAAAACAAGTTTTTTTCCTCTATTTTTTATTTCACGATTGCTACTTTTAGTCACTTTTATGAATTTTCTGTTCATTACATCGTGAATATTTTGTATAATATTTTAGTGTCTATTTTATGTCAATTTGCTTTAGCATATTGTTTAATTATTTTGAATTTTCTTGCAAACTACTTTGAGATTTTTAATGGGAAGCAATATTTGAATAAGTAAATAGAACATAGGCTTAGAACTCTGACAAAGTTGGCTGCTCAGACCAGGAAAGACTGTTTAAACTATGGGTGTCAATACTTTCCTGTCTTCTCAGAACATATGAACTGAAAATACAATATCCTAAGCTTTATTTGAATATACATATTTGGAAATAGACAGGTTGAAGAGGCATTTGGACTTTATAGCTTGGAAAACTAGAAGCTTTAAAAATGATGTCAGGAGATAATTAACATTGACATTAACAAAAGAAATAAAGAATATATTTTAAAAGAACTAATGCACTTGGAAAAGTTACACTGCAATCTTTTTATGGCTACAAATTCAATGGAGCTTATTTCTGAGTAAACATGCATAGGATTGCATTTTAAATATGATATTATTTCATTCCAACAATATCTGTATATTATATCTCTTTAGGCATTTCACATTTCTTTTTCTTTTTAACAGCAAAGAATGAAAAAAAGGTAAGGGCAAATATGGAACAATAATTTAACTACTGTTAAACAAAAAGGTAGAGTTGGTCCATTAGGAAAAAAAATATCCAAAATCCATAGGTAGATAATAACTGTATTAGAACCAACTAGAATGATACAAAAGTTTATAAACTTCCAAGTTTTCTACCACTTCACCATGAAAAATTCTGGAGAATCTAAAGCTTACACATGCTTTTCTATCATTTGTATCAATTCTAATAATGCTATTACTCATCTAAAAGTGATCATTCTTACTCAAGATTAAATGCAATTCAAATACTTGCTACTTCCTGGATCTTAAGTTCGTAGTGAAAATTCTTGGTAAATTTTATTTGGCTTAAGAAACCTACCAGTGTGCAGACTTCATACATATTATCCTGTTTAGATCAAAAATATAATTCCCCCAAATGTTACCTCATCTAAACAATTCACACGGACAGTCTTGCTGCCAAGGAGTTTTGAAGCTTCTTCAGTGTTTCCTGAAGGGAAAAAAAGTTCATGAGAAGGAATCATAAAAAGAAACATGTATGTGGGTTAAGAATACCCAGTTTATGGATGACCCATAGTTAAGAACGGAGTCTACTGCAGCAAAATTCAAGGTAAATACACAGTAGTTTGAGTTAATACACAATATTACTTATACAGTATTATACAATAATACTGTTCTGGCTTACATACAAATTCGACTTAAGGACAGACCTTGGGAACAGAACTCATTTTTAAATTGGGGACTACCTACACAGTAGTTTGAGTTAATACACAATATTACTTATACAGTATTATACAATAATACTGTTCTGGCTTACATACAAATTCGACTTAAGGACAGACCTTGGGAACAGAACTCATTTTTAAATTGGGGACTACCTGTATTATATTTGCATTCTGCATTTTCTTCCAAGTTGTTTAATGTACTTATATAGTTTTTCTCTTTCTTTTTAACTGAATCCCCATAAACCTTAGAAAATACTAGAAAGCCCTGAGACCAATTGGATCATTCTCTGAGAGAAAGGTAGTGTAGTCTGATGTGACCAGAATGAACATTAAATTTTAGGCTGACCAAATTTTTTTTACCCCAATGCTGGACGGTCCTGTGATTGTCTGAGTATATGTAATAAATAAAAAAATAATTGCAGTGGCAAACAACTTCAATAATAAGTCAATATTTACTTACCTTAACAGATAAACAGAATGACCACAGGTGGGCAAAAAAGCAGTGGGAGCGGGAGCAACTTCCAACTTCCTGCTGGCTTCCCCACTGACTTTGCTCGTGGGAAGCTGGCAGGGAGCACTGAAAATCACAACCACGTGACCACTGCAACGGCCACAACTTTACAAATAAAACTGGATTGAACATCATGGAAATTTCAATAGCACAGTAGTAATGGGTCCTGCATCTTTTACATATTCTTTAAGTTAGCAGATTTTATGTAACTTGATTCAAAAACTGTTGCGGTGTTATGGACCATTTGGGCTAACTTGAGGGTACAAACAGACAAACAGATATACAGTGAGAGTTTTAGTAGCATATAGATTTACATTCACAGGTCATGACTGAGCCTTGAGTTTTTTCCTGCAGGCCCAGCCCAAGAACAATGGTGAAACGGTCCAGTTGAGTTAAGTTCCTTTATTTGCTTACACCATATAGACAGAATTTTGCCAGACTAAATCTATACTACCGCAACTAGTGGATATACCCTGGAAGATTCTAGGGAGTGGCTATCCTGAACCTCTTATGCTTCCCACGCTCCCCTTGCGGACTGTGTTGTCTTTTGTCTCCTTTCCCTTCCTGGAGTGCACCTCCTCCCTCCTGATAGCCTTGATCTCTGTTGCTATCCACCACATCACCCTCTTCATAGATACATTCCATCACATTTCCAGCTCTAGTCCAATATTCTAATCACTATACCACACTTTTGAACTTTAATAAAAATCTTTAAGACAGTAAATTAAAATTATTCCATGAACTTTATTATTAAGAAATAAAAACTACAAAATTATTTTGGCTAAAATTTGTTCAAGGTTTTTTACATTAGGTCTTTTCTCCAATTCTTAATATAGACATTGCTGGCTGGGGAATTCTGGGAGTTGAAGTCCACACATCTGAAATTGACATAGACTAAGGCCGCAATCACAAAACACACATTTAACTCAGATGGCCACCAGTCACGTCACCTTACTGTTGGAAAAACACAACTGGGTCAAGGGCCAACTTTTGGAGGATTTGGCCTCTGCCTAACTTCAGTCCCCATTAGGGAGGCAGACAGCAGAACTGGCTTGGGGTGCTTTAGCCAATCAGCATTTGGGAAGTGTACTGTGTGACTAATAAACATTGACAGTAAACTTTACAATTGAGAGCCTTGCACTTTTGGTCACTCTATTTCTCTAATTTACTTCCTTTGTGGACTGATTGTGTAGAGAAGGACCATTCGCTCAGAAGTCATGTTTCTGATTTCATACAAACACAGTGTCCTCATTGGACAAAGATGCTTTGAGTGATGATTCATACATGTTGTTCTGCGTTAAATGGTCTCACTGTGATCCCACTGACTGCGTTTCTGGGTTCACAGAAAGTACTAAAAATTATCTTATTAAAGCGGGTTATAAGAATATAGCCTGGGCATAAGATAGGCAGAAAATTTTTTGCCTGCTATAACTGCACTTAAAGGATACAATCTTAACTGCATTCAGCACTATTTGCCAGATTCCTGTTTCACCAGGATTCATTTAACTTCAGCACTCAATTGAGAAACAAAGCAAACTGACTATTTTTGGTCAGTCTGCCAATCTGTACATAATTCCTTGATCCATTTAATATGCAAACAACTTATTAAGTGCTAGGTTGCTCTAAGTACAGTAGCATAAAGTAGTATAAAGTGGTATTTGCCAAAAAAACTGCATGTATGAAAGAAACTGATGCAAAATACAATTATCTAACAATGCCTACTCGGAAGAAGCCCCTAGTGGAGTACATGCATTAAGTCTGGATAAGAATTTTAGTCTCCCATACTTCTATAAACAGAAAAATATAAGCGTATACAGTAATCTAAAAAAATGACAGTACTTAAAAATTTCCATCAACTCCACTTCACAATACCATGAAAAAAACCATCAAGATAAAAGGAAACTATACTTGATTCTGTGGGAGGAAGGAGGATTTTTTCCTTTCACTAATATCTCTTAATTCTATTGATTACATAAATAAAAATAATAGCATAAATTAATGCTATCCCTCAATTTTATTTATTACATTTAAAGCTACCCCTGTGACCATATTTCCCTGAGCTATACCAAGCAAAACAAATAAACAGTTAAATAAAAGAATAAAACCAACAGAAGAACATAACAGTTGAAAGCAAAGCCATCAAGTCAAGCATCTAAAATTAGTTCTTAAAGTTAGGTCTACACTTGGAGCCAAAAATACCATAATTCTGGCAGCAAGCAAATTTGTTCTTGGGAAAATATTCCATTTTTCATCATTACTTAAAAATACCCTCTGTTGTAGTGACTCCATTGCCTTATCTGGCAAGAACATTGAAGGAAGAGCCTCAGAAGATTTTTTTCAGTATGAAGATGGCATAATATGATCATGATATCCAATGTCAGTGAATATTCTGGCTGAAGTTTCTGAACCATTTTTGAAGGCACCCACCTGTATAGTAGATTTCAACATTCCAAATGGGATGTTTCCAGAATAAGAATAACTGTTAAAAGACTACTTATGCCTCAGTACGGTCATTACTGAAGTATCAATCTAAGGTGATGAAAGGTATCCCATTTTAGCCTCTGGGAGTAATGATGAATTTATAAGCCCCAAAATATGAATCTAAACCTTAGGAGCATTAAGGAAAATGCAATTCAACTTGTCTGGAGCAAACCAGATTAGAAAATCTGAAGTACACATACCATGTTTTACAAAGCAGCCACCTGTTCAGCTCAATGCAATTTTGAGCATGCAGTTGGCAAGCACATGGTTTGAAACTCATCATGTCAATGATTTTCAGGTAGCGTGAACTGGCTGTCACATACTAAGTAATTATAAAAACAGAATCAATATACTATTATAAAAGAATATAGAATAAGAAACACAATCTGTCACCAATTACAAGTTTTGCCACCAGTAGTCCATCTGTTAATTATAAGAGAGAATGATAAAGCAGGTAATTTATGGTTTTAAATTCTTTACCTGCCAATACGTTTTTGCAACTAGAGCTACACACATTAACAAGGTATCCAGCCTAGTCAACTAATTATGGAATGTGAGATGGAGAGGCTGATTTTTGGGGAGGGGGAGGGCAGGCAATAAGATAAGGTGGGAAACAGGAAACCACTCTCAGGGAAAGCAGTCTTGGTGTTTTATACCAATTTGGTATTCCAGCCCCTAAGCTCTGCCCCAATGCATAGTCATCCGACCTTCAATGGCATGGGTTTCCAGCTGCTGCCACTGAATGCCAGCTCAACTTGTAAAAAGGCTTGTCTTTTTCAGGACTGAATAACAGAGGAGAAGGATAACTTGGCATGTATTGCTGAAACGTGGATAGGTGTTGGGGGCTGGGTTGTAAAGGTGGGCTTTAGGTTTAAGATGGGATTGCTACTTTTGTACCAGCCTCCCTGTTGCATAATGACTTCCCCATCTGAGCTGCTTGATGTTTTGGCCAAACTGGTAATAGAACTCCCCAGACCTATGCTACTGGAGGACTTCAATCTGCTTTCCCTGGTTGAAGGTAGTTCAGGAGTTCATAGCAACTATGGACCTGATCCAGATTACTGAAGGCCCAAGTCACTGCAGAAGTTACATGTTACAACATATCTGGATTTTGTCTCAGGGTAGTGGCAGCAGTATCTGGAGATGGGGGATGTTAGCATCAATCCTTTGTCATGGGCAGATCGCTTTTCGACAGCCTTAGAGTTCTTTGCAATGGCTCCCCACTGCAGAGAGAAAAGACCTATTTGATTGGCCTGCCCCAGGCACATGATGGATTTTGCTGAGTTTCAGAGGGAATTTGGAGTTGTTCCTGGCAATCTGCTGCATGGTTTGACTGATGCCTTAGCCAATACTTGGAACAGAAGAATGCCAGGAGATGAAACAGCAGAAGAGACACTTGGAAGAAAACAAGGAGCTAACTGAACCGAGCACGGTTAAGAGAATTTATTAAGATTACCTTTGCTAATAAGAGTGGCAAAACATAACTATTTTTCCATTACTACATCTGCAAATAGCCCTGTTCAAGGTGACCCAGTCCCTCCTAGATAAGAAGGGGCCAGAGGAACATCTATGAGGACTATTTAAGGTATCTGCTGGATAAAATTACTTGGATCCCCTCTGAACTGCACTCTGGCTGTGTGGGTCCTTTGGAGTTGACTGAGGCATGGTCTGGCTTGGTAATCTGAAAAGTGTTTGAGTCTGTTGGTCTTCAGGAATCTGATGGATTCCTTGAGGCTGTGGGTATGGCTAGTTGTGTATTATATCTATGTTCCTCCTTGCAGGTCAAGGCTTTCTGGGAGACCAACATGCGGTTGGATCCAGACAACGGTAAACCTACTGGCTCTTAAAGATGAAGTGGTTCATCCCCATATCAAGAAACTTATTGGATCCAATAGTGCTGCACTATTTTTGTCCAGTCTCTAATTTTCCCTTTTTAGGGAAGGCTCTTGAGAAGGTGATCAAGTTGCAGATTCAGAGGGCTCTGGAAGAAACAGATTATCTGGACCTTTTTCAGTTGGGTTTCAGACATGGCTATAGTACTGAGACAGCATTGATCACACTTGATGATCTTTGGCAGGATTGGAATAGAGTTGATGCAGCCATCCTGGGCCTCCTTGATCTATGAGTGGCCTTCAGTGACATGAATCATAGTATTCTCAACCAATTTAGAGGATTGAGAGTAGGGAACATGATGTTGTTATAGTACTCTTTATTTATCAGATTTATATAGCTGTCCATCTCACAAATATAACTCTGAGTAGCATACAACACAGAGTCAGTTAAAACAATTACAACAACAGGTAAAAAGTTAGACACAAGTACAAATAAAAACAAAATAAAAAATAAAACCGTGGGAGAACAGACCAGCATCCTACATACAGTGTAACCATCTTGCAGACTCCCCAAACCTGCTGAACAAACCAAGTTTTCAGATATTTCCGAAATGCCAGTAGGATCAGGGCTAATCTCACCTTGGGTGAAATAATGTTCCAAAGGGTGGGTGCCACGGCAGAAAAGGCCCACTTCCTGTGTCCTGTCAGATGAAACTCTTTAGCAGACGGGACCCATAATGTGCCTAATCTGAGAGGCTGGTTCCAGTTGGCATTGGAGGGGGGGAAGATCTAGCCCTAGGTTCCTGTTTTGCAGAGTTCCTCAGGGCTCAACTCTCCCCCTACTCATTTTTAACATTTACATGAAACTGTTAGGTGAGATTATTTGTCAGTATGGGTTTAAGTATCATCAATATGTTGCTGTTACTCAGATACACAACTCTAACTTTAGTAAACCAAGTTATGCTGTTAAGGTTCTTTCTCAGTTTCTGAAGGCTGTAGCAGCCTGGATATGAAAGAACAGGCTTTGACTTAACCCTAGAACGACTAAATGGCTCTAGGTTTTAAGATACCCCTCCAGATCAGGGAATTTTCAATCATTTGTTCAGGACAGAGTGGCACTCCCCCACATAGATCTTAGTTGCATCTTGGAAGTCCTCTTGGACTCTTGGGACCTGCTGAAAGAGCAGGTGGCAGTTGTGGCTAGGAGCACCTTGGCACAAATCCATCCTGAGTGCCAACTGTCTTTATGCCTGGATTGGGAGGCCCTGCTCATAGTCACTCATTCTTTGGTAACCTCCTGTTTGGACTATTGGAATGCACTGTACATGGAGCTGCCCTTGAAGACCACTCAGAGGCTACAATTGTTCCAGAATACAGTTGCGCAGATAGTTATGGGTGCAGCATGATACACTCATGTAACACCATTACCTCGTGAGTTGCACCATTACTTTGTGAGTTGCTCCCAACAGGCTTTTGAGTGGAATTCAAATTGCTGGTTATCATTTATACAATAAAGCCCTTCAGGGTGCATGGCTGGGTTACTTACAGGATTGCCTATCTCTGATTATTTCTGCCCATCCCACAAGATCTGGCAGGGTGGACATGTTCCAAATCCCTCCTATGAACCCATGCCATCTAATGGGACCCAGAAGATGTGCCTTATCTTTTGCAGCACCTGCCCTGTGGAACAGCACAACCTCCAAGATTCAGGTGACTCTGATAGCCTTCTGTAAGGTGCTGAAAAATCTGGTTTTTCCCCTTTGGGCATGGGGCTGTGGCTTTAGATGAGCCTGTTCTGTAATGGTTAAGAGTGATTCGCCTTGAACATGTTTGTTTTTTATTTCTTTATTTTTGTTTTTAATCCCAATACTAACCCAATTTAATAAAAAAAAATATTTTATACTTGCTGCTGCATTTAGACGTATGCTTTAATCAGATTTGCCACAACTTTGGGCAAAAAGTGGTTGTTTTTTGCTTTGAGCACAACAGAAGTTCAGGTTATTTCTCTGTAACTTACAGCAAAATGTCCCCTGAAAGTAAGCACTTGCTAGCATGATGAGCAAAATTTGGGAATAATAAAATAAGAATTGAGCCTCCTCTTGTAGGTCGTTAAAAGGTCTGATAACCCCAGGAAGAATGCACTGCAGGTCAAAAATACAGCAAAAACATATACACGACCAGGCCTAGATTTAATGGCACCTGAGTAGCGGCCAAGCCCTGCTTAAGTTCAGTGCCCAGAAAGACCTGAATTAGCAACCTCTCCGCCGATCTGTTATCCTCCTTCTCTTGTACTTGAACAAGCTGCACCTTGCTAAACCTTAGGCTCGCTCTCAAAAAACAACCCGTCTTAAGAGGCACCCGGGCCTAACCCACGAGGTTTGCATAGCGATCCGCTGCAGCCAGCAAAAGCAGATGCTTCCAGCCATTCCAACCGCGAGGGACAAAAGCTTCGCCGTCTGGGCCTGAACAAGCAAGCAACCGAGCGAATGCAAACTGAGCCGGTAGCACGTTGCAAACGACTCACCTTTGCCAATGACTTCCAGCAACGCTTTCTCCTCCTCATTCAAGTCGCCTTTCTTTGGAAGCGCCATCGCCTATCTTATGTGTTTCCTTCGTTTCTTTCTCTCTCTCCCGCCGATAGTAATAAAATGGAGCGTGCCTTGCCCCGGAGGGCGGAAAAAGCAAACCGCGGCCGATCAGCTGGAGCAACTTGGACGCTTCCTGTGTTGTGCTTTACGAGACCCTGTCCGCGCGCGCTCCGACCTCGTCGCTCGCGTCACCTTGAGACAGCGGGGAGGAGGTTCAAAGCCAGAGTGGCACACGGGGGGCAATAACACGGAATGCATCCCTTTACGGCGCCTGAACGGCGTGGTCGATCACGCGTATGTGCGCGAGGGACAAAGCAGAAGCAGAAGCATAGGAACATGCTAAACTGGACATGCTGCTCTTCCACGTGGCTAGGATCAATCTCCCCCTCTTCAGCTATAATGGTGCGGCCCGGCGGTGAAATAGGCGGAGCTCAGGCTGCTGCTGGATGTCAGCGTGCTCGTCCTCCACTTCTCCATTGTGTGCAGGCGCTGGTGTTGTGCCTCTTTGCTGCTTATCCTTAGACTAGAGCCACTTCCCGGGGAGAGGTAAACGATTGCTGCGGTGAGGGGAAACGGCGCCCTGAGCAAGAAAAGGGACAGAAAGCGGAAGGGAGGCAAAGCTGAACAAAAGGGGTTCGTGGCTGCTGCAGCAAAGCACAAAGAAAGAGGGGCCAGCAGGCATTTCCACTCTGGCTTTAAAGGGCATCGAAATAGACGCTTGCCCTTTCCGACAGGCTCGGCGCCTCAGCTTTGGGCTGAAGGCTTTTAAGCGACTGCAGCTGCGGTGGGGAGTCTCTGGAGGCGAGGTGAACTTTGAGGTGGAAGAGGGTGTACGTGCGTGTCTTTGGCAAGGGGACGCGGGACAAGAACACCGAGCAGCAGCGATAGCTTTCAAAGCGCTCGTTTGTGGGGCTGCCTTTTGCGTGGGGCGCGCCAGAAACCGTCTTTCCGTGGGAGTTTAAAGGCCTCGTAGTAAGGATTTGGGGGGGGGGGAGAGAGCGATTTGCGGTCCCGAGACTGCTTCCAACTGCTTGCTAAAATACGATGCGAAGAAACGTGTTGGGCGCGGAGGTGGGGCCGGAGGGAAATCAAAGACGTGCCATCTTTTTCTGACCTTTTTGGGGAGGCCCTGCGCCTGGTGAAACGGTTGCAAACGAAGGAGGTATTTTGAGATTTTGTGATGCCCGAAAAGCAGGCACGCGCTGCTTGAGAAAGTGAGGAAAGCTGGCTTGTCTGCAGTGCTGCGTTCCGATGGTTGCCTGTTTGGGAGTCTTTAAAACCGACCTGCCTCTCTCTGCGGGGCAGCTGGGCGCGCAGTTTTATTATAGAAGCGCTGTTGGCATCCAGGAACCCTCAGCCAGAGAAATATAAATTTCATTTGCGGTGGCATTTCATGATACGCTCAAATATTAGATTATTTACCTGACAGTACGTCCCATTAAACCCACTTGGGCTTAATTCCGAGTTGTTGTGTGGGTTACATCCTTCAGAAGAAACCAGTGTATGAAATTCGGAATGTAATCCATTTACATACAGGGTTTTTTTTTTTAAGTGTGTTTCAGGATGATTGAGATTTGTGACAAAGTTAGCCTAGGGGGGATAACAGATGCCTTGAAAATCCCTTGTACAAAACTGTTCACTCTGTTACTCTGAATGCTTTTTTAAATAATAAAGTTGCATCCTCTCTGTTTAGATTTCTATGGGGTTTTTGAGGACATTCAGGTTTACTGTCTTTTGCCTTAACTGGGGACAGGGAGACAAGCAGCTTAAAAATATTCATTAAAATTATTCACAAGGTTTTAGTAATCCATTAAAAGATGCTGTAGCAATCAACCAATAATGTAGAGTCATGGATTTCAGTAAGATTATTTGAGGAGATTGAATGGACTGTGGGATGAAGCTGGGATGTATAAAATAAGTTGAGTTTCTTGCTGCTTTTATTTTTGCTAAGGATTAGTAGAATTTCCATTTGGCAACTGTGAGTTATTGAGTGGAATGCCTTCTGAATATAACTCCTTTAGCTAAGCTACTGTACAGAAAGAGATTTGAATATAGAAATGCTTCATACAACCTAATCCTCAATAGAGTTATAGAGAAATAAGTCTCATTATGGAGACTTGACTCCTGCAAAGAGGTCTAGTCTATGGTTACAATGTTTTTTTCATTTAGCTATTTATTAGGTTCTAATAGATGGAATATTAAGCAGAGCTTTTTGAATAAGTAACCCAGAAGTACTCAGAACTCAGCTGTTTTACACATGTAGCAGAATAAAATGCTGCACAATACCAGAGAATCAAAACAAGCACAGCAAAGGAAGAGAGATTTTGTTCTTCCTCTGCTAGTTTTATCTGCAGAAAGTTTTGCAAGTCCAGGATATAAAAACAAAAAACAAATCCACAGTCTATATTTATGCTACCCTCTCGTCTCCATCTCATTTTCCTTAAGGTGTAGTTTAGACTGTAGTTACTCAACAGTTCAAATAAACACGTCAGACTGAGATTTACAAATTTCCTAACTATTGAGCACTGTTGCCTGAAGTAAACTTTCATAATTGAATGCCTTCCAAAGCCTCTAGTTAGTATGTCTCATAGTGATACTGGCCTGGAGTGATTAAGATTAAGGAAGCTGTTCTAAGGATTCTCTTGAGATTTGGTGATCCATCTTGTGCAGAGTTGGAGAATTTTTATTTTACCTTATTTGTATGAGACTGTGGTTGGTATAAATACTGTCTTCAGGAAGGAACAAAACAGTTAAGCTATTGTATAAAAGCACTTTTTTAAAGCAGAAAGTAACCAGCTTGATAGTTGAATGATGCAGTATTAAACTTAATAAAAGTTATATAAAATAGTTTCCTGTTTCATGTGACTGTGAATATTGTGTATATCAGGCAAATAGCTCTGAATTATTCCAAATACACAAACAAGATTAACACTTCCTTTTAGTTTCTATGAATTCATCCTAATCTTTTTCCTAGACCAGAATTTCCAATTCTTTTTAGGAACATGATGATCTTTGTCTATTTAATTATTTAATAAAAGCATTTAAAATACCACCAAATGCAAGATCAAAACTATATAACGTAACACCTTGATTTTATCAAACAATGTAGTAAAACATAAAACTACTTTTTAATTGTATCTTTTTTTCAGTTGTAATTATTGTTTGGCTATTAGTTGCAAATAACTGTGAGCTGCAGTTTATATACCTGATTTTTTCTTCTTTCCTAGCATTTTCCTGCAGGTACAGGGTCTGCTTTTCGGATCAACCAAATGTTGATCCATTGGTTGCAACAGGAACTGACGGAGGGGCTTGTCTGTTGTGGGCTGAGAGAAAGGGACTGGCCCAAAGTCACCCAGCCAGCTTTCATGCCTAAGGTGGGACTAGAACTCACAGTCTCCTGGTTTCTAGCCTGATGCCTTAACCACTAGGCTAATTACACAAGTCCAATGGTATTTCCAAGTAGATGCACTTCTTCAGTTCTGCATCCAACTTGCTCTGTGTCCAACATCATGTGAACAAGGATTTTCCTGGAGAGCTGCAAAAGCAGGTAGGAGTGAGGGAAAGAACTGCCTCTTGCAGATAGACATGATTGAATGTACCTCTCTGCATGAAGGCCTGTGTGAAGCCTTCTGGATGGAGTAAGGATCTTATTGAGATCCAGTTTGGTGTAGTGGTTATGGCACCAGGCTAGAAACTAGGAGACTGAGTTCTGGTCGTGCCTTAGGCACAAAATCAGATGGGTGACTTTGGGTCTCTCGCGCTCTCTCAGCCCTAGGAAAGAGGCAGTGGCAAACCACTTCTGAAATCTTGCCAAGAAAACTGCAGGGAATAGTCCAGGCGGTCACCAGGGGTCAACACTGGCTTGAAGGAACACACACACACGCATTCAAGGATCTTCTAGTTTGTTCTTTTCTTTGTCTTTGTCTTTTTTTTTTCTGTGTGTTAATCTATGTTAGAGCTTATGTTGCTGTTTTTGAACATTTCCCACATCAAGGTGGCAAAAGCCATATTACCAGCCAGCTGTTAGCAACTATGGTTAAAGGTAATTCTAGGTCCCATAAGAAAAGGGCTTAGGGCATCTTGCAGTCCTAGGGCTGAAAGTTACCCATCCCCTATAGTAAGGGATTGTAGGCCTTTCCACATTGTAGGTATGTCTGTCTGGTTTTGTGCAGGAAACTGTAATTTAAGATCTTTAATCCACCAAAATAAAGGTCTTATATTATTAGATGAAGGTATCGCTTTTGATCATTTACTGCAATTTGTATAGCATTTCTCAGTGCTTTACAATTCTTGGACCATTATTTAAGGGGGAAAAAACAGTTGTATGGTTCTAACTAGGTGTGCAGGGAGTGAAGATTATTCATTTGTGGATTGACAAACATGTTTGATTTGGAACAAATAGACTAAAGTTGTCAACTATTGTTTTCTTCCTAATAATGCTCTGAGAAGGCAATCCATCATCCTGTCCTTGTGTGCTATATTAAACTACACAATGTAGTGCCTTGTGCAGATAAGTGCAACTTCTGCTATTGTTTTAGTCTTTCTCCATTATATAACATTGGGCAAACATAAGATTGTCTTTTCAGTTCTGCTTCCTTTCCATTGTGCTTTCTTTTCAAAAGGGACAAAGCAAAAATGCCAATGAAAATTGAAGGATAAAATGGTGCAAAACATTTCAGGTACCTATTTTTGGCAAGCGCTATATTGTTTGGCAAATAATAACTATTGCAAATATTGATTTGGCTATAAGGAGTTATATGTCTAGATCCAAATTACGTCATAACTGGAACAGACCCATTGCAATCAATAGGACTTAAGCTACTCAGTATGTCCCAAGGTCTGTTTAAAGTATGTTAAATGTAGATTCAGTTTGCTTGGTAATTCAAACATGCAGATTTAATGCCTGATTTTATTCTTCCGTAAAGAGTATGTGTTTTTTATGTAAATACTAAAAAATTAGTGTTTTTTAGGTGGGCTTGAAGATACACCATTAAAAGTAGATATTCCTATTCAGAATAAAGCCATGGAAAAATAACGTCGTTGAAGAAATTTGTCCTTCAGAACTTTTCCCAAATAATAGTCTTCTTCTAAAAGTATAATGTATTTAATTTATTCATTAGCTTTTGGGTAAAAAGTGTTCTAAATTAGCGCCCACAGCAAGTTACTGAAATCATACATGAAATAAGGTAGATATGTGATGAAAATGTCCTGTTCTGAAAGATCATAACAAAAGAAATCAAAAGCTGCCAGTACAATAGTGGTTTTCTACCCATCTTTATAGTAGAGGGACTTCTGTGTTCAGCTCTAGTCACTACTACATCTTAAAAAATATATTGAAGTACTGAAATAGGTACAGAAAACAGTAAACCAAATTGATTAAGGGGTTAGAACTCCCTCTGATGAAATATTAGTTTTTTTTTTCTTTGTGTGAATTGGGGAAAGGAAATGATAGACTCATATTACTTGTATCCTGGATAGTCCAGTGAAACTTAATTATGAGTTCAGCACAGGCCAAAAAGGTTTGAAATAATTCTTCACACCATTCCTAATTAGACTGTGGAATTTACTTCCACAAACTTTTGTGATAACCTTGAATCTGAATAGTTTAGAACAGAATAGGCAAATTCATGGAGAGTGAGGTTATCACTGTATTAAAGAAAGGATTAAAAAAGAGCAGTATCATGAGTGAAGAGATAGGCAGTTACTTTTATACAAATGAGTTTTCCTTTCTTTAGTATATACTTCCAAGCAAGGCTCTCAGTTCTGGGATGCTGGCTAATAAAGGCAGGGAACCCTTTTACTTTCAGTTGCAACAAATCTAATCCTTGTCAATGGAATGAATCATTCCTGTGGCCATAATTCAAAACTTCTTTTCTTTGCCTAAACTTAGGTTTAGGATTATGTTCAGAGCCAAATTAGATGGAGCACAATTAAGGCTTGCATGTATGCTTTTAAAAAATAAATTGCAGGCTTGGGGGAATCTATTCTGACTGGGCCCCTCCGTGATTTCAGGAACACTAGGTTTGGATTTATATTGTTTGTATTGGGGAAATTGTCATAAGAGAGAAAACTCTAAACATTAACATTTCAGAAAGGCAAAAATAAAACCCTTTAGTGATTTTTGATATCTGCCCTATAAAGGCTAAGTAGTTTGCATCATGTAATTTTGTTAACTTAAGGGTTTTAAGCATTATTTTTATTATTGTAAGTTTTTCAGAACACAAGAAATCCAGCTTAAGATAAAATATAAAATTTTACTCAAACATACTAAATCCTGTATATATCTAAATAATGTTTTTGTCCTTAAATATATTTAATAGTAATTCTGTGGTATCTGAAGATTATTAAAACTGTAGAGAGAAAAAATAAAATCCAAAGCATGCAATTAATCCTAGTATGTAGAAATAAATGGATGCCTGTTGTGGCATTAAATATTATGAGTTAACAGAACTTCAAAAAGTTAAACAGATGGAAAGTTTCCAGTCACACTTTGTCTTCTGCAGGGTCTCCCAGGATTATTGGAACCTTCGTAAGCCATGTGGATCCCGGAGAAAGGAGGAGATGCAAATTTTTCCTTCTACGACTGTTTTATATTAATTTACCTTTGAATAGAATCCAAAGGATTTTGAATATCTAAAAACCCAGGCAGCAGTCCTGGCCAAACCACTTTTGTGCTGTTCCCTGGAAAGCTCCATGGTTGTATTCATGTAATCATCAGGAATTAAGTTTGACTCATGTTGATCCTTCTCTTTCCCTCAATAGATGAGCAAAATATAAGCTCCATTTCAAGCATTGTGGGTCCAAATCAGTTACCACATGAGTATTCTAAATAAGTTCTTTGTTCTGTCAATATCAGTCTAATTATGTATGTATCACAGTAGGCTTCCACACATTCAGCATGGATGTGCAGGAAAGAAACCATGTTGGCCATAGGCTTTTCATAGACTTTCATCCTGAAGATGTTTGCACTGAGCATGCGGATCCTATAGGGAAGCCGGTGTCTTCTGAGAGATCTCAGTAGTGAAGTGGGATGTATCCAACGCACTCATGGTGAGTGTTCCAGGGTAGAGAATATCTGAATATCGTCCCTGAAATAGTGCTCAAGGAAAAATGTTTCTTCAGACTGAAGGAGATCTCTTTTTCCTAATAAAGAAGAAATAAAGGAGTCAACATTTGCTTCTGACCCAACATGGTACAGTAATTTGGAGAGTGGGCTTGGGCTAAACCTGAAGATAGACATAAAGCACATGAAGTTTGCTCCATGCATAAGTGTTAGGAAACCAGCATGAGACCATATATCTTGATGCTACAGAACTCCTACACATGGTAAAAAATGAGGTGAAATCCATGTACTAACTTGGTGCTGCCTCAGCTTTATTTCTTTCTACTGTTGGCTGGGTTTATACATCATGCTAGCTCATATTTAGTTGGATAAGTCATGTTAGCTGAATTATACACTGTGTTAAGCTATGAACCATGCATTTTAAATCACAGAGCCTACGTTTACATAATGAAGAAAAAACAAAGGTTACAACAATTATTGAAGCCTTTTTCCATGCTTTTTCCATTGTAGTCTTATTTAAAAAATCCATGCAAAAGAGTTCTGGAAATTTGAATTTTTGCTCACAATTCTGCTGGCTTAGTTTGTATCAAGTTTTTGTTGCAACTTAGTCATTCTCTTGTAAATAAATCTCTAATCTGTGATGAAGTAACAAAGGAATCAACTTTTGTTCATCTTTTTCCATTTCTTCCCTCTTTTGATTCAGTCTTTGATCATACATTTATAAATACAATAGTTACTACTTTGTAAAAGAAACAAATATGTACCAGCCTCTTTGCAGAAAAGAAATGCATTGCACCTCTGTGATATTAGTCCACAGCTCCCCAAAATTGTTTTAGTTAACTCGAATGAAGCTGCATTTCTTTTTCTGCTTGCTTCCCTCTGACAGAGCATTTAACTGCAGCGCAGTAAAATACTGAACGCTCACATAGCCCCCTTAATGCAGGACATAATCTGTTTTTTATAACACTTAATGTTGAGACAAGATTTATCTTTGGAAATCGTTTTCAACAGTAAATGGTTTATTTGGCATTCCCTCTGCCAGGGTGCCAAAACCTTGCGGTGCGAGACAAATGCTTTTACTGGCAAACTGCACAATTATTGTAACCTCTGACTTTCAGATTGGAATAGTGAAAAACATTCAGTTTTAAAAGGCTAAGGAAGGCCAAAGTGATAAAAATAAATCTTTCCAGCACTGTAGCATGGAAGTAAGGAAAACTCAACATCCTCCTATTTAAAGAAAAGCATTCTTCATCCTCCTATTTAGGGTTTCAATCCAGTCATAGCCATGTTTTAACTCATTTTCATGGGTTATTCAGTTAACCATGGTTTATTGAATAAAACAATTGTTTTATATGGCTCAATTGAAGATGCATATTTGAATATTAATTGAAATATATATTTCAGTCTGAACTGACATATGTGGAACATGGATTTCCTTGGAAACTAAAAATTGTTTTGGGAGAAGGTGTGAGTTATTTGTGTTCTGCCTTTGTATTGTAGTAGTTATTTTTTTGCCTGTGGAAGGGATGGCACAGAGACTGGATTCACCCATCATGTTAAACCATAATTTAGTTTATTGATTTTGGCTTATTCTGTGGTATGAATCCAGCTAATGGGAGTTTATTTAATAAAGCATAGTTGAACAAACAACATCTTAGAATGATGTATGACTGTCCAGTAAAAAAAATCGGATGTGTTCTAGCCTTAATATATCAAGGTATGATTTAAAACAAAAAGCAAATAAACCTGTTCCATGTCATCCTGATTCATCCTATCAGATTTTATAGTTCCTTTTTTTTAAAGTATGTGATGCATTTGTTATTCCACATACTTTAGTTAATGTGTAACTTTGGGAATATCATTTATTTTTATGTGTGTGCAGGCAGGAACTTTTTGTATTCCATCTTTTTCTTCCCAGTCCCCTGCATATAAAGGCCCTTTCTTGGGCTCCCTCTCCCATTAGGCTATGAGTTTAAGGCTAAAAGTTTAAGAAAGTAATTCTTGCATGTCAAAAATACAGAAGAAAATAAATGAAGCATTTCCTTTTCTGCCTTCCATCCTATGAAAAAGCTATTTTTTCCATCCCTTCTCAAATAAGAATTAGTTCATTGTGGCTAGCAATGACTGAGTACGCTATGACATACCTCTGCCAAATGTCTGTCATACCAGGTCAGCTACAACATTGCATTTTATGGTAGTTACATTAATTAATGTGTTTGAGGGCAAGGCTGGTAAGCATTGTTGCTCTGGGGTTGGTCTCTTCAGACCCTTGGGGTTTCAAAGCAGAACACCCGCAGCTTCCTTGCCATCATGTGGCCCAGGCTCAGTAATTTCTTACTCAAATGTACATTTGTCATATTTGTCAACTTTCTAATTTC